CGCCCACGCCGAGATCAACCTCGACGTTTGACCACACCAATGCCTTTGGAGACTTTGACGGCGTGCATTGCCAGCCGGAAGACCTCGAGCGGAGCGAGTACGACTCGCGTGAGCAGAGCGAGTACGGCGACGCGCCCATGCCCGTTCCGCACACCATGCCCATGCCAGACATCCCAGAGCCTCAATACGAAGCACCTCCGCCGCGTATGCCACGAAACAACAGGGATACCATGCGGCCACAATCCTACTTTGACGAGCTCACCGGCCAAGAAATGCTCTACTACCCCGCTCGAGTGCCCGCTATGCTCAACTTGCCGCCCAAGCTGTCCAGGAAGCCCAAGACTGAGGTCCGGAACGCGAGGCACTCCAAGGTGCTTCAGGCCATGGGCCATCCTGGTTTCGGCCAGGCGAAGTATCTACCTCAGGACCCCGAAGCGTCCCAGGTCCGCGAGTCCAAGATGTGGTTGCCCGATCCGCTTGCCGGCCACGGTATGTCATCTTTTGGAGACGACATCGGGGGACAGCACTCGGGTGACGCATCGCTCAAAGAACCTGCCGCGGTCGATTCTCATGTGCCATCCGAGCAGGGCGACCCGTTGCTATCAAGTGATGGTGCTGCTGCTGTTGGTGGTGCTGAAGGACCAGAACACATGCCAGAGGATCCCCCGCCAACGCAACGCCGCAAGTCCAAAATGCCAAGGGCTTCCAACCTGCCGCCACAACTCCGAGCGAGCGCCTTTTTCGATTTGCCGTCCACAACACCGCAGATCGAGGTCAAGGGAGGCTCCGCGATGGCGACGCTCGACAGCATTCTTGATGCCTCTGCCAATGCCCCTGTCAGTGCCTTCACCGACCACGCTTTCGCAGGAAAGTTGGGTAATGAGACGTACGGCCCCGATAAGAAAAAGAACCGCAAGTCTACCGCCACCGTCTTGCTTCCCGAAGAGCATGTTCGGGCCGCCTCGCAGAAGAAGAAGGGCGGACTCATGCCATTCAGTAAGAAATCCGACAATGGATCCAGGAAGAATTCCATGGCCGGCAGCAGAGAAGAGAACCAAGCTCTTTCCGATCACGTCGACGGCGAGGATAGGGAAAAGGCCGAGGGCGAGGGTTCAGATGAGGAAGAAGAAGAAGAGGAAGTCGATGAGTTTGCAGGAGTTCTCGATGGACCCCCCACCACTCTCCTCGCTGAGCTGCAGCTGCGCAAGTACCACGCCAAGATGCGCACTCAGAACCCGAACCGTAATGTTGGGCAGAACGGCATGCATGCTACCCTCATCGAGCTGGACGCGGTTGCCGAGACGCAGAAGAGGCACCGTGAGAAGAAGAAGATTGCCCTTGCCTGGGAAGTCGATGGTGCCAAGGAGGAGGACCATAGTTCCGACGAAGACGAGGTTCCGCTTGGCGTTTTGTACGCCGGCAACCCGCATGTGGCTGAGAAGAATCGACCTATGGGTCTGATGGAGCGTCGTGACCTGGAAGAGAACGAGCCTCTCAGTGCCCGTCGCGCCCGTCTCCACGGCCAAGAGCCCCCGAGGATATTGGCTAAGCAGAGGAGCAACTTTACTCTCAACGCTGGTCTGAGCCAGATGCGCCTCAACCAGATGCCTTCCGCCGAGCACTTAAGGCCCGAGGAGGAGTCGGAGGACGAAGCTACTGCTGGAGAGACTCTCGGTGAGCGTATGCGACGCCTCAGAGCCAAGGACGAAGCCGAACACAACAACCTACCCAACGCCCGCCCCGTCAGTCGCGCATTCTCTGCGGAGATCCTAGCCCAGTTTGGCGATAACGATGATAAGAAACCTGGAGACAAGGGCAAGGAGAAGGAGGCCCAGCCAGAGGGAGAGGAGACGCTTGGCCAACGTAGGAAGAGACTGCAGGCCGAGCGCGAGGCGCGTGAGCAGGAAATGATGCTCAGCGGTGGGCCTGTCCCGGCTGAGGCCGAGGCGCCTACGCTTCGCAAGAAGCACAGTCTCGCTGACGTCCTCAACTCCCACCCGATTGCCTACAACCCAGCTCTGGACGAGCAGCGCCGCCTCGAGCAGGAGAGGCGCAAGGTTCGGGAACAAGAGGCCAAGATGGCTGCGGTTCGCGCCCAGATGCCGCAGACCCTGACCGGACCGAACAATCAGCGGAGTGGCGGCTACAAGAACGGCGCTTTCAACGACGCCAACGGAGGTACCGGCGGTGGGCTAGGTGCCCGAGGTCTCCTTGCGCAGCCTGGACTCCCGCCTGTCAATGCCACCTTGGGCGTCAATATGGGACCTGGCGGATGGAATCGCTCCAGCATGGCCTTGAGCAACTACGGAGGGCCATTCCAGCAGCCCATGCAGCAGCAGCATCAAGTGTACGGAAATCCAGGTATGGCTCAGATGAGCCAGCCGAATCTGGGCGGATACGGAGGCTACACTGCTGGTGGTATGGGAGGCATGAACAACATGGGGGCCATGAACGGCATGAACCCCTACGGCGGAGGCATGGGTGTGCCGATGCAGATGCAGCCCATGGGTATGCAGCAAGGTATGGCGCCGATGCCGATGCAGCAGATGCAGATACCTATGCAACCCGGTCACAATGGGCAGATGCAGTCCATCGAGCGCTGGAGGCAGAGTGTCATGTACTAGACGAAGGCCAGCCCGGATCTACAATACCTCGACCGACCAACTACCTACCTACACACTAATCCCTGGGCGGACGCACAGTCTGCAGGAGCTGTATATAAACAATCACACACAACTATGGCATTGCGAGGGGAGTTGGATTGATTTTTCTTTTGTTTGAATAACCTGTAGGTGGTTTTGCGAAGCACAGAGCGATGCGAAGCATTGGGATACAATAGGGGGGTTTTGGAGGGATATGGGTTTCTCGGGTTTACCTATACCAGGTACGAGGGGATTATCACATTACATACAACGTACACTTACCAATTCTAATAATCACAACTGTGAACCTCGTCTGCTTTTGATGTGGCCCAGGCATTGTGGAGAAAGTGAGCAGACAGCCTGAAGACAAAGGTTGTAGGATGGATGACTTCACGAGGTAGGTGCTTGTCGAGTCTCTCGAGGGAATTCTGGTCCAAGTATGGAGGTATGAAGGCGTGTCACTAGCAAATCTCTTTGCTAATCTGCTCTCATGTGTTTGTGAAATCGCTGTGAAATGGTAGGTGTATGTGTTCCTCCGGGAAACAAGGCTTCATTAGGACTAAGGACAAAAGGCCTTTGAGCCTGGTTCAGTTGACTATATGTTTGCATAGGCTTGATGCCACTGCCGGTCAGGCCTACTCCTCACTACTGCCACCCTCACCATCACTGCCACCAAGGTGGTTTATAACGCAGAGATCAAATTGTTCGGCTCGAGCCTAAGTGCTCTCATCGTTAAGTGTGACCCATCGCGCTTGGTGGGGCCGGCGGCGGGAGCCCGTTCTCCATCTCCCGGCGAGACCCACAACATCACCTCAGACAAGATCGGCGTCAGCCGTCTCTATGCCTGAAATGAGGTCTGAACCTCCCACGAGCCTCAATCACTATGTAAGTATCTCCACTTAATACATGATCAGCCAACGCCAACCAGGAAACCCGAAGCCGATAGTTGCTACAAATCTCAATCCTGCGCGACAAAAGCCACCAGCACCGCCGCACAGGCCGCCGTCGCCAGGATGATATCCGTCCTCCGCCCGTCCGTCATGACGGCTAAGCTGGCCGCGAAGACGCTGGTGAAGACGGCGATCATGCAGAGGCGCAGGACCTCGTTGTGGATGAGGTAGAGGGTGACGATGGCGGCTTGGATTACGAGGGAGGCGGCGAGGACGGTGATTATTGTGACGAGGCGGGTGACGTGGCGGGCGGAGTAGTATTTTACTTCTGTGGTTTCCTTGTGTCGTTTTCCCTGGTTCAGACTATCAAAAGCTATTCAATATCGCTATAGTAGTGGACTAACGTACCGCTAGGTACCTACCTGCAAGATCTTCGAGATTTCGGGTGAGGAAATCTGCGCCTGATGATGGAGCGAGGGCGATGAAGTCATCTCGCTTGCTTGGTAGATCGTGGCCGTGGCCGAGGAAGGGTTGTTCGGAGTCGAACCAGCCTTGGAAGACACGAAAGACTCGATCGTTGGGGGTAGTAAACTTCATGACTTGGCTTCGCAGAACCAAAGCTTCATCTATATCTCGTCACAAAGATTGCTCTTGTGGTCAATCCTCGAGGCACGTACGGTATTCTTTCATGGTTCCCTGTAGCCGATTTACAAGATCCGTCTTCTTGGCCTCTCTTGAATCCTTTTCTCGAGCTCTTAACGCAAACACTTCCCAGCACTTGGTAGCGAGACGGCTAGCATCGTTGACGTTTGTGGCGTCATCCTCGTCAGACTTCTGTAGTTCAGCCTCGATCTCAAGCATTCTCGACTGAAGGTGAAGGAGGTTCCGGGCACTTAGAGCCTGGAAGCTCCTGAATACTGACAGCTCAGTATCAGAAGCAATGAATTCCGCGAAAGCTCCGTGGCTTGATGAACCGGGCGGTACGGCTGCCATTTGGTGCAGTCGAACTGCTCGCCGCAGCCACTCTCTGAGAGGGTCTGGGAAGATAATGTATCGAGAATGGGCAATCGGTCTCAAGGGCAAGGCGCGTATCTTGGTCAGATCTTTCCTGGCGAGGATTGTTTCATCATGTGCACGCCAAGATCTACTTGCATCGATGGGCGTATGGAAGTGAAATACTGAATTGGGGGACCAAGGCACCCCAGCTGCCTGCCATGGGTGAAAGGAGCTCTTGGTTGGATGCCTGGTATCAATGTGCAAGTATGCCTTCGAGACGAATTGACCAATCACCCCCCCCTGCGAGGAGGGCTTGTCAGGGGCGCAGCTCAACTCGAATAGCCATCGTCAGGAATATCAAAGCCTGATCTCTCCTTGCCTCTAGCAGCGAGCTTGCCGGCTTCTCTCCTGCCTTGTACGTAGCAGGCGTTGCCTAGATTGACGGTTCTTACATAGGTCAAAAGCTTTCAATATGGTTCGCTTCTCAGAATCCTTTAAGCTCTTTGAGACTCTGGGCATTCCAGAAACTGCCACGCAAATCGAGGTTAAAGCGGCTTATAGACGGAAACTGCAGGCATACTTTTCCTATGAGAATTCAGCATGTCGCAAAAAAGACGCCATTAAATACTGGAAGGAATCAGAGCGATATTCACCCTACAACCTCCTAGCAGAACCAGGATTTTCCAAGATGCGACATGCATACAATATCCTTTCAGACCCAAAATGGCGATGCCAGTATGCCGATTTCGTCGCGTCTGGAGACCGTCTATGTAAGGACGCACCACAGCTGTCTCGTCACTTTGCCCCAAATACAGCTGACGCGGATGACATTGCCTTTTTTCAGCAGACAGATTTTCGATGCCAAATCCTGCATCAGGCGGCATGCTTATGGCTCAAGGAGAAATAGACGGCCAAACGGTCAATGCAATTCCCGATACTGGCGCTGGCTGCAACTTGATGTCTTCTTCGCTTGCCAAACGACTCGGTCTCGAGCCACCACCCGGCCTGCCAGAGGCTCAAGACACAGGTCTTCGAATGGCCAACGGCAAGTCCATCATGAGCGCCGGTACCATCAATGCTGTATGGAAATTCGCATACGATCCTGATAAATCCTGGAACATCGCGTTCCAGGTCATCAATGATCTCGCTCATGATGTTATCCTAGGAAGCGAATTTCTCACAACTTCGGGGACAATGAACCAGTACCGCGCCCGTTTGAGCAGAGCCCCTCGACCTCCTTGGGCAAAATCTTTTCTGTTCACAAGCAGTGTTGGATCTGTTAGCCAGCGGCTTCAAGGTAGAATCGGCGATGTTGCGGTCCTGGCACTTGCCGACTCGGGTTCCGAGTCGAACCTCGTCTCGTCCAGCTTTGCACGCCGCCATACGAATTGGCATGATACCATTGATTGGAATGATCAACGCCTTTTGCGATTTCCTGACGGGAACGTGGAAAAGACAATGGGTTCTGCATGGGCACATTGGGCCTGCATGGGCCAGTCGGACACTCCCCTAAGCCGTGATGATGCGGCCTTCCGTTTCCACATTCTTGACAGTTGTATCCATGATGTCATCTTGGGTCAGAATGCGCTCGAAGAGATTGAAGCCTTCACCAACCAAACCGCTTCGTTCGTGGAATCCAACCAAGGCCCAGAGCCGGCGGATCTCAACTTGGTCATATGGGTGCCTGCCAAGGACCCGAAGACGGACCAAGCCACGAATGCTGGCGCCAACCCTCAGCAGAACCAGCAGACCTCGAACGAGCATTCGGAGATTCCGCCCCAAAGTCAGACTTCGGAAAGTCTTCCAGACCCGGGAGTATCGAATACCTCTATACCCCCGGCTGAAAAAGAGACGGAATACTCATGGTGGTATAGAAGATTGGCGGAGCGTAAGCGGCAGTTTGCCGCTCGGCGACACATTCTACAAATGTCGCCGGGCCCCGAAAGAGATGCTGCTACTGCAAAGGAACAAGAGATGCGCCAAGTCTTTAAGGCCAGAGAGAAAACAAAACTGCCCAAGCAGGCGCCTCAGCAACCCAGGAGATTTGATAATTACTCGGCGCTAGAAATGGAAGACGAGGCTTCGAACAACCACGACGAGCGCAGGCTGCGGTTCTTCTCTCGCTGACTGGGCTCTCGTTGCGGGCCAAGATAGGAAAGACTTTGGGTTGTGACTTTCATTGACTTGGTAAGCTGGTCGCTCCTTGGGAGAGGTAAAGAGCTTGTTACGATGGAGATGGAACAGAGGCGTCGGCCTTGGGGGTTGGGAAGACGGTTGGATCGGCGGCCCTGTAGTTAGAATATCAATATCAGCCCTACGGAGGAAGACTGGATCATGATGCGCCCGTGCATGAAACATGCCATGGATGTTTCTGGCGCTGGACAAGTGTCCCGATCTTTTTTTGGAGGCAGCCCGAGTTCAGGGGGAGAATGCGCATGTGCAAGTACAGTCGTCATTTCTAGAAGCACTGTATGTCTCGTGAGCAAAAGTCCGTTCAAAGCCGTGCCAGCTTAGATAGAAAACGGTACAGAATCCCTGAGCTGCAACGGGGACCTCTCCATCTTTTTTTATCGGAACGCGTATCGCAACGGTTAGCTCGCGTGCTGCCGGACCGACGTCGTCAGCCCCCAAAACCAAACATTTACAGATTATCTGCCCTCCTCCCGCTGCCTCCGACATAAGCGGTAGCCAATTCTTCTTTTTTTTTATCGCCACAGATCGCCATACCTCGGGAATGGAAGCGTCACCGCTGACCCGTCAGGCCCCGCCCGAGGTCTTCAAGCCCAAGATCGTACAGCTGTACGAGTCGTTGTTCAAGGTTCGACAGCTCCGCTTCTCCCTGCCTTTGTGACCCCTCGACCATGTCTCTGTGTGTCCAAGGTACTCTTTCGCCGATTTCGTGTACGACTTGTTGCTAACCTTCTCTCTCTAGGTGTGTGTTCTCTTCGATCCTTATACCCACGAACCCCGAGCTTCCCCCATTGCGCCTGGCCGAGCATTCCCCCTTGACGATCTTCAACTTCCGGACCGCATGGCCGTATCTTCCTAGACAGTACTGCTACGCAGAGAAGCACGATCCTGTACATTGGCAACCCGCTGATACGAACTCCATGATTGAGTAGGACGCCGAAGATGACGCAGAACGTTCCGAGGGCTTCTGGCGCGAGTTCTTCCTCCTGCGGCCCGACCGCCCCGCCCTGAAGCGAATTCTCGATGGTCTCGGGCCGGCGGACATGCTTGCGTTGGAGGAGCATACAAGGGAGCTTTTCGCGCGCGCTGTCACTGCTATGAAGAGTGGACAGGGTGTCGCAGATCTGCATGCGCTTGACGTGAGTAGGGCACAAGCTCGTCCCTTGGCTTTCGCGCTGAGGCGAGGTTTGGAAGTTGCTGACTTGGACTGGGAGGATGGTAGACTCTAAGCGTGTTCCTCTGCTCGGCTCTTTCGAAAAAGTATGCGCACCCTAGCTCGGATATTATTATCGTCTTGGCTGGGATCGATTATGTCGATACGATCTTTACGGACTTTGTGGGCGCTGTGGACCAGATCATTAGGAGTGGGAAGAGCTGTGAGTTTGGCATACGGGAAAGCCACTACGGTCAAGTACGAGACGGACTAACGCATTGCAGTGGAATTGCGACAAAAGGCTGTCGAGGTTGTCCTGGCTGTGACGGCGGGCGCATACCAGACAAGCCTCTTAACATACTTCATCCAGAGGGACCTCTTCCCCTCAGTAATGAAGGTCAGATCATTCTACCCTTGCAACTTGTGTGAGCCTCAACTAACGATCCCGCAGTTTATACAAGACACCGACACAACGGAGCGCATCCTCAGCCCCTTTTCCCTCCTCGGCCTCTTGGCGAACTACAACAAATTTGAGTTCCAGAACCCCTACCAGATGCGACTAAACGACTTTGTCAACGAGGCGACAATCAAGAAGATCATTCGGTGTATCGGCCAGACGTGCGAGAGCTTGACTACACAATTCGTGGATGTGCAGGACGACTTGCCCGAGGGGTGGACGTTCAACGGCACGCTGCGTATGATTGGCCTCGGCGCGGTTGCGAGGGGCCCCAAGCCGGAAAAGAAGCCCGTCTACGATGCCGAGACCATGAAGCAGATGTTTACGAAGCTGTGAGTATCCTCTGGCTGGCCTTGGAGTGAAGAAATGTGGCAACTGACAAGAAGCAGACCCGGTGAGGAAGCAGCCGTGTTGCTAGCAACCTATGACTTTACACACGCCAACAAGCTATTCTGCTTCAACCTCGCCACCCTGCCTGCCGAAAAGGGCGAAGAACAGCCATTGGCGGCCTTCACATCACTCACCTCCTACCTACTCCAGCACGCCCATCTCTCCGAACGCACGACACACTACTCGCATCTCAACCTCATGGTCTTCCGCCTACTAATCGAGGATCCCGTACTATGCAAGCGGATATGCAGCGAAGAGTCCAAGGGACAAGTCCGTCTGTGTCGCCAGAGGCAACCGTTCCTCCCGCTGGTCAGAGGGGACCGGATTCTGGCGACGGCCGTGCTGGATACCATGGTCGACGGCATAACACACAACCTGCGGAGGAGGCTGGACGTCGGACTCTACACACTCTGCGTCGGAATCCTGTTGCGGGTGATTTCCTATCTCTCGAGGTCACGGACACGACTGACATATCACTGGGCGGATCTCTTCCGCGCGTTGCTGAACCTCATTCGGTTCCTTACACAATACGTCGCGGACCTGAAGGACCTTTCGCAAATCGACCTCCTGCTAGACAACGTCGTCAACCTCGTGGCGCTCTCGCTGTCGGCTGGCGAAGGATTCCTGCCGTCGCCAGCGGCATACGATGATCTATTCTACAAGGTCGTCGAGGCTGGCGACACGCTGACCAAGTTCAAGGAGAGCTATCAACTCGGCAAGCGGCCGAGCAACTCGATAGACACGCTCATTAGCGTGAGCACGCACTACAAGGAGCTGCTGGCGGAGGGCGGCAAGAAGAAGGGGAACCTGACAAGCATGCAGGTGACAGAGGTGATTAAGCAAGGGTACGAGACGCTGAGTATACAGGCGAAAGAGGGACTTGATACGTGGGATCGGTACCGGGAGGCGGATGAGAGGACGTTGTTGAAGAAGATGGCGAGGGCGGCTGTTGCTGATGTGAGAGGGTTGGTGGAGCGGTGAGAGTTGGTGAGCTGTGAGCTGTGAGGCAAGGAGGATTGGGTGATAGACTGTATGATATTAATGACACCCGAGATGATTCTCATGAAACATTGCGTTGGAGTCTGGTTGATCAATGTTTGGCATGCTTAGTGGAGGCCCGTTGACTGCGGCTCTAGCCTTGAGAGCTAATGTCAACCTCGAGCTCTTGACCTTCAAGGTTGTCATTCGACACATAAAGTGTGGTTCCACAGGCTGCTGGGGATTGGATGTAGAGCTCTTCCTTTTCAGTCCGGGCAAACCTAATCTCGAACCACATCGATTCCCCGAGAGTCCAGGAAACTCGGCAACGTAGTGTAACACTGGACAAACAAAGTACCTGACTAAGGTAGTTTGGATAAGTTAAGAATGAATAAGGCCTTTGAGGCCCTCAAGGTATGAGTTGGTCATGAGAAACAAAGCAAAAGCCAAGGCCCAAAAGGCACTGAAGGAAAAGAGGCTGCTTTGTCATCTGTCCCGGCCGTTGACAAATTAAAGGCTTCTGATTGGCTGAAGTGCACCCGGTATACTGGAGACCGCTCACCATGTCATAGCCGCGCCACGGCGAGAACCTGTCAAATGACCCCCCCTTGGCCCCAGCTTCTGTTGCTTTGCTCCGAGTGCCAGCCACATTCCCATTGCCAATCCATCCCGACCGCAAAAACCTCCGACCTACAATTCCCGCCTGTTTCTTTCGTCACCGTCGAATGATTTCCAACCCTCTCAACCTCAACACCTGATCCTTCGACGATAAACACCACAGAACAAAACCGGAAAGCAATCTCACCTTGGTGTCATTCCCTCTAGCAAACTCGACTTCGTCAAAAACACACACACACACACACACACACACAACCTCTAGCACAAAGATGAATGCACCGAGGATACTCAGCAGAGTGGCGTTCCGCCGCTCCTGCACGGCATTGCAGTGCGCCTCTGCCCGTCGCGCCTACGGCAGCCCGTCTTTCCAGTCATATCCTCTCTACTCAAACAACACACTCCCTCCGGCGAGAGGCGACGGCATCCCCGAGAGCTCCATCGCATCGCCGGATGCTCTGCCGAAGGTCAACGAGACGAGACCTCCCAAGATCCCCTCACAAATGGCGACAGCCCGCCAACAATCCTCGACACCGAGCACTCTTTCCCCTTCTCCCTCCGCCACACAGTCCTCGACGACGAAGACAACAACAGCAGCGACCACATCCGCGGCAGCCAAGGCCACGACGACGTCATCAGCAGCAACCGCTGCCGCGGCGGCCCCCGCGCCAAAGGTTTCCGAACAAGCAGCTCAAACCCCCAAGCCAGCCGCCCGTCCGAAGCGCACGCTCCGCGCCCGCAAGGCGGCGATGAAGCTCAGCCCCGCGGCGGTAGAGCAGCTGCGCGCGATGCTGGACCAGCCGGAGCCGAAGCTGATCAAGGTCGGCGTGCGGAACAGGGGGTGCTCGGGCCTGGCGTACCACCTCGAGTACGTCGAGAAGCCGGGGAGCTTTGACGAGGAGGTGGTGCAGGACGGCGTCAAGGTGCTGATTGACAGCAAGGCGCTGTTCAGCATTATTGGCAGCGAGATGGATTGGGTTGAGGACAAGCTGAGCCAGCGGTTTGTGTTCAAGAACCCGAATATCAGTGAGTCTACGTCGCTTCTTACCGTTTTGGGAAAATGGTTTGCTAACTACTTGAACAGAGGAGCAGTGTGGCTGCGGAGAGTCATTCATGGTTTGATTCATGGTTTGAGGAGAGTTTGTAACACAGCAAAGACTGAATGAGTCGCCAGCGAGAGAAGAGACAGCATGAGCATGCGCTGCTTTCGTAAGCGGGTCAATGGCTTCGATATACACTTCATACATGGCCGTCGTCTCCATCATAGAGAAGGGGAGATTGCTGACGGCACCGGCACCGGCATCAAGTCATGCTACGGCGTCTTTGTACATCACGGCTCCGTTCCGAGCACTTTCGACATTTCGGGTTGAGGATAAAGGCATTGGGAGGCGTTTTATGCAGGTGTAATGATACCTACGAGAAGACCTGGCTCATCGTCCGGGCGCGAATCACTGAGATTATTAGTTTCACTTTCAATTGAACCTGAAGAGTGAATCAACTACTCTGTTGTCCTGAATGAGATCATACGTACTGTGTATCCGTATGCCGAGCATGGCGGGCGGGCGGAGGCCACAGTGTATCTCCGACCGAATCCGAGTGCCGGGCAGCCCCACTGTCGAGAGAGAGCGCGGCTTCTTACCCGACGGCTGCCCTGTGAATCGACACCCCGGCAGTGGCAGTCGCTTCCAGACGGCAGTGGAGTGAAGGGACCTTAAGGCTCCTGGAGGTAGAACTGCGGAGCGAGGCGTCCCGTGCCCCACTAGAATTTCGAGCTCAATTGCCAGGCGCGTCATTGCACTCAAAAATTCCCCCAAAGGCGCGTCTCATCCAGTCACAGCTCAACCTCCAAATTCACACGAATTCGCGATAGTTGCACCAACATCGTCAACTGCACACGAATTGACGAATCCGGACGCCAACACACTCCAACAATAGCCAAGCTTGAGCCAAAGCCTACCCATTGCATGCGTCACAGCACTGTGTCTTCCATTCAAAATGGCAGCAGTCGACTGCCCCATCTGCAACAAACCCGTCAAGGAGACGCTGATCAACTCTCACATCGACTCTGGCTGCCAAAACCACATCTTCAACCCCGAACGAACCTCCTCCCCGCCGACAGTGACACAGTCTAATGGCACTCCCGGCTCTACACTCACCTCATCACAAGCCAAACGGCCCGCCTCCTCCTTCTTCTCGACCCCCGCACCGAAGCGCCATGCCCCTCCCGCCAAAGTCCAGACGACCCCGTCCAACGGCACGACGACGACAGCAGCGGCGACGACTACTCGGCCCATGGCGGGTATGAAACGGAGATTCGACGACGGGCCAGGCGAGCTGCCCTCCCCCATGGCGACGGCCACCGACACAGACAGCGAAGCAACCCAACAAACACAACCACCAGAAACCGGTCCCTCGGCAAAGCGCACAAAGACAGCCCGCGCAGCGCCCCTGGCAGAGCGAATGCGTCCCAGGACCCTAGACGAAGTCTGCGGCCAAGACCTCGTCGGTCCGCACGGCGTGCTGCGCAGCCTCATCGAGTCGGACCGGGTCCCCTCCATGATTCTTTGGGGAGGCTCGGGAACGGGCAAGACGACGATTGCGCGGTGTATAGCGCACAGCGTCGGCTCACGCTTCATCGAGATGAATGCTACCTCGTCCGGCGTGGCCGAGTGCAAGAAGCTCTTTGCGGAGGCGGCCAACGAGGGTGCTCTTACGGGCCGCAAGACTATTATCTTCTGCGACGAGATACATCGCTTCTCCAAGTCGCAGCAGGACGTCTTTCTGAAGCCCGTTGAGGCGGGTACGATTACACTCATTGGCGCCACGACGGAGAACCCTTCTTTTAGAGTTCAGGGCGCGCTGCTCTCGCGGTGTAGGACGTTTACCCTGTCTAAGCTCTCGAGCGAAGACGTGGCGAGAATCCTGCTCCGCGCCATTGACGAAGAGGCGCGAACGAATAACTTCCCCGGTAGCCCGCTCGTCGACGCGGAGCTGGTGACGTACCTGGCTGCCTTCTCCGACGGTGACGCCCGCACAGCGCTGAACCTGCTCGAGCTCGCACTTTCGTTGTCAACGCGCGCCGGGACGACGAAGGAGAGCATCAAGGCGTCGCTCACCAAGACGCTCGTGTACGACCGCGCAGGCGACCAACACTACGACACCATCTCCGCCTTCCACAAAGCAGTCCGCGGATCAGACGCCGACGCGGCGCTGTATTACCTCGCACGCATGCTCCAGTCTGGCGAAGACCCCCTGTTCGTAGCACGACGCATGGTAGTCATCGCCTCTGAAGACGTCGGCCTGGCAGATAACACTCTCCTCCCGCTCGCGACGGCGGCGTACACCGCCGCGCAGCAGATCGGTATGCCCGAGGCTAGGATCCCTCTCGCGCACTGCGCCGTAGCGCTGAGTCTCGCGCCGAAAAGCACGAGGGCGTATAGGGGTCTGAATAATGCCTACGCGGCGCTCAAGGAGCCTGGTGCGGCGGCGTTGCCTGTGCCGCTGCACTTGAGGAACGCGCCGACGAGGTTGATGAGGGAGATGGGGTACGGTGCGGAGTATAAGTACCCGCCGAATTATCGGGAGGGTAGGGTGAGGCAGGAGTATTTGCCTGATGAGCTTGTTGGGAGGCGGTTTTTGGAGGAGAGGGATTTGGGGACGGAGGTGGATCCGGATTTGGAGATGGAGGTTGAGTCTTGAGTCCTAAGTTTTGAGTCTTGACTTTTGAGTCTTGATGTCTTGAGATCCATTCTGGGTGGGAGATGACCGACCTTGTGGAAAGGGGTCGGTGGTTGATTTGAGCATAGCATTATACCTTCTTACTTAGGGGTATACGGCGTCGTCTTGGATGGCTCCGGTCTTTGGGATAGAAGCTCGCCGGACCTAAGACGAACAGAGAACACTGCGTAGAGCGCATGGCATGGCATGGCGTCTAGGATAGGCATCATTTCTCGTGCTCAGGCATGAAGATGGAATATACATGTAATAATACGTGTACTCGAACACGCTCTTAGGCTGTGAACGCGGGGAGCATTGCGTTGACAGGTAACATCCATCTGAGAATCGAGACTCGTTCATACACGCCACGATGTCTGACAAGCAACAGCCCAGTAGCTCGCACTCAGTACACAATCTCAGACTGGTCATGGTGGTGTGTGTTATGAAGCCCAGTCCAATGCATATGGAGTCTCAGGAAGCTGACCATGTCATCAACACCTTGCGGCTCGTTAACCCAGTGACCTCCTGATTGATACTCATGCCATTCCACCGTACATGAACCGGCGAACGAATCAAGGGTCGCTCGCAACTGCCGACCAAGATTGATATCGACGACTTCATCGTCCACAGCATGAGCGAGGAAAATAGGACTCTTGGCCGTTGGGTCTGTGCCGCTCGCTCTACGATAAAGTGAACCCTCCTCCGCCATACCTTCGATGACCTCGGCCGGCGGCATCCAGCTGCACAAACCAATCAGCCCACCTAATCCGCCTAGCCTCGGCGTAGTCAAAAAAGCGGCGATGGAGGTTGCGAATCCCTGGCTGATACCGCCTAGGAATATCTTATCCATCGGAACCAGGGCAGATTCGCTCTCGACGAGGGCGACGAGGTGTTCGATGCTCCGTCTCAGGCCGGGTTGTTGGATACCGGCTTCTTCTTCTGGGTTTTCTAACGACCAGACGTCGAACCACTGTGACATCTCGGTGCCGAATCTCTTGGATGGAAGGAGCGCGGCACCGGGGAAGACCCAGCGGATAGATGGGAGTAGGTCTGGGAGCGTGCGTGGTTGGTTTGCTGGTTCTGATGCTTCGCTTTCGAAGAGCTCGGTTGCGAAGTCGGCGCAGGTGCTGTCTCTGCCGTGGAGGAATATGATTGTGTGGGTATGTGCCGCTCGAGGGTCGATGTAGTGCGTGGTGAAGTCCATGTTATTGATGTTTGTTAGGTTCTTGGAGCGGAGCTGTGGGATGTTTGTTTTGAAGGGGGGGGGGGGAGGCTTTGAGGCATGTATGCCTACTAGAGGTGGAGACCGAACCTTGACGGTGCCAGACCTGGCCAGTTGCCAAAGGTCGTACTTTCCTCAGGCCGGGGATCTTGACAAGCAGTCTTGCCTGCTCACGAAGCAACCGCGACACCTCAAGCCCATTAGCTTACTCAGAGCAGGACTTTCTAGCGGAACCACCTTGACATGCAACTATATGAGAAGCTCTTTAGTTAGTGACAGCTCGCAAATCATCGTAGTCCGTTCGTGTTATAAGCCTTGAGGTGGGGTGTTGATCTGATTTATGAAAGAGGTCGTGGTCGCGAATAGTGGCCCCTTGGACATGTGTGATTTGTTAGTTATTTGACGCAGACTAAAGTTTCGGTATATCGGTCTCCTCATCGATATCCTCATTTTTGTTATCCTCCATGTTGCTTTCCTCGTCATTTTCGTCCTTTCCAGATATGTCTAGTAGCGCTTGAAGGGTATTCTCCTAGGGACTCAGCCAAAAGGATGTAGGAGATTTATGATGCTCCACCAACAGAGAGAAGTACTAGTTACCTTGGCTGCGTGGCGTTGATCTTATCATTTTCGAACGCTGTGTAGTGTGGCAGGCTTTCTCTGTCTCAGAGCTGAAGCGGTTCGTAAGCCACAGCTGCACATCCACTGACAGTATGTGGGCCAATAATGTTGTTCTTGGGTCAGATAAGAACCTGGTCTGGATTCGTTTTCAGCTCTCTGCAGTGCCATTGAGTGCTTACATTAATATTTGAGCGTTGGCCCGGTGAGCAGGAAACCTGCAGGATATCTGCCATTCAAAAAAGCGAGGCAACCAATCGAGGGACTGTTAGATCGCAGGGGATAGGAGAGTCATAAATCAGCAAGGTGGCGGACACCGTTTACCCTTTCAGTATTGTGTACTTAAAGATCCTCTTCGCTCTAATCTTCTACGATGCAGCTTGCATTAGGGCTTGCTGAAGTGTATTGATGCCCGAATCTTGGCAAGTTAAGGAGCCTGGAGACTTAAAACATTTCGCCCAGACTTCACTCCTTGCCAAATCCCCATCTTTTGGATACTTTCAGAGGCTCCGTTGCGAGGAGTTTCCCACATCTTGCGGCCATTCCACTTGCCTTTCATCTCATTCATGGATGCAGACACGTTTGATGGTATGGCAACAGGTGCGGCGGCCAGTGATACGCCAAGCCGGCCAATTGACAACGACAGCCAGACAATAGACGACACGCACGCATCGGAGTCACCTCAATGGCCCAAGAACAAAAGTGCAAGAAAGAATAAAAGTGCAAGAAAGAACAAAAGTGCAAGAAGTCTTCCTTGGAAGGAGGTCGACCACACGATGACTCCTCAGGCAGAAACACCATTACACCTCTTTCTTGGCGAACTCGACTTGGATACCGAGACCGAAGCCAAGCTCGCAGAGTTGTCCGCCATTCTTGCAGCGTCACCGAAAGACATTGATACTCCATCATTGGAACCCCCCCACGAGACCCCTTTGCAGATCGCGATTGAGAAAAACGTTTTCCAGACCTTCGACTTGCTGATACAAGCTGGTGCCGATGTCAATGCCTTGGATGGAGAAAATACACATTCATTTTACTACGCACTTGCATATTCGAATAGCCCGTACTTGAAAGTACTTTTGGAACACGCGACGACAACATGGGACCCTATCTTTAGCGGCCGGTGCTTTCTCCATTACATAGGCTTTTATGACCAAGAAGAAAGTATAATGCGACGTCTGTTTGAGTTTCACCGACATTTCCTGAACGAACAATTGTTACCTTCATTCATAACACCACTCAACTATGCTGTCTATCTCGAGAGAAAGGAAGGGGTTGCTTTTCTACTTGAACAAGGGCCAGATCTTGGTATCGTGGAGTGGAATGGATGGTCGCCCTTGATGATGGCGCTCAAGCACAGTACTTCCGAGATGTTTGACATTCTGGTTAACCATCTATTCGAACCTGGGAGGGAACTCACCGCGAAAGATGTCATCAGCCGGAAAAGCAACATAGGAGAATCTATTTTCATGGAATTCCGCAGGTCGAGGTCTGGCGATGAGGCATGGGAAGCCTCTTTTGCCAAGCTTCTTGCCAACATTCTTGAAAACTTTCCTGACTTAGAATTCAATACGACCCCGGATTACGAGGGCCTTCTGGACTTTGCGATGTTTTCGACAAAGCACTTCAAGAACAAAACCATGAGCAAATTCGCGTTGAGGGTCATTGATTGGGTACCGAAAAGATTGCTTTTCCAGAGGTTCCAGGAAGGTAAAGCGACATTCTCTCATAGGGTACCTTATTTGACGACCTTGGCTGATCACAAGAAGACGCTGCTTTCATGGATGAGCTTCTTTGCTGGCTTGCATGTCAACAAGAGCGGCACTATGTGGCCGTTCCCATTCTCAAAGAACTGCCTGCTCAAGAGCAGACCGGAAATATCGACCAGAATGGCTGGACGTTGGCTCACTGGGCGATATATCATAGGTTGCCTTCAGTGCTTCTACGGTGCCCGCCTTTGACACCCGGCGACAAAACTCGCGGCCTGGAGATTATTGGTCAACTGAAAAAGTCAAGCAAAACAAAGGAGCAGCAGCCTTTCGCGAAAGACAGTGCCAGGGAAGTGAAACAAGAGAATCAAAGCACCAGGAATGAGGAAGGTCGTACAGAAACTCAGGCTCGAGTCCTCGACGGAATGAAACATATCCTTGACTTCATCGGCCTAGAGACAACCCTTAGAGCCAGGGAGCCCCTCAGAATCACCAAACCGACCAGCAGCAGAATCAAAGATTGCTTGAACGAGTTCCAGGCAAGCATTGTCGAAGTCCGACAAAACGAAAATGAGTTCAGCATGGGTACTAGATTCAGGGGGGTCTACAATACCATCTATGATGAGAAGGAAAGTTTCACGACAATCAGAGACGCAATAGAACAGTTCCAAAAGTCGACTAAGAAGTGGGTTCCAAGCACCCAAGTGTCTGGGAAAGGCCTCACGTGGGTCCATCTTCCAGCAGCCAATGTAAGCCTGGCAAATTATCTGAATATTCCTTGGAATGAATGAAGCTAATCAAGTGAAAGATGGAATGGATGATGGTGAGATCACCGAATAAACTTTCTCTCATACGTTCTACACTTCATCCTACATTTCAAAACTAACAGTATCAATGAATAGGATACTATGAAGAAAAATTTATATTTCACATCCATCCCGACTCGAACACTGGAATGAGGTTGCTGCTTTTTTGCGTGCAAGCTGGTCTCAGATCCCAGACAAAACATCCCCATCACGATTCATGCGGCCTCAATACGTCATTCTGAATCATAAGGAGAGAACAAGCAAAAGTTAGTCCAAGTGCCTTTCCTCTTTGGATATTGCATCCATCTGATGTGGCCTCAATATTGCAGACAATGACACTTATTCCCCGGGAACTGGCAAGAATGGTGGACTGGCTTCCGCTTTTTACGTAAGACCAGTCAATAACAACATCGAATACTCTTGTAGACATCTGATGATGAAAGTAGATGCCGTTTATCTTGGCCGACTATAAGCGACATGAAACAAACAACAATAGGAGAGACTTCCAAGACATTCTAAATGGATATTACCAAAGCCGGGGCTCCGTCGTTCATGATGCACCTACACTGGACGAGCACTATTACCACTTTGCTGCAGATGAGGAGTCTCAAAGAGACCGAGGCCACAGGAACAAGAATCAAGTCTTCACCAAGTACCAGCAAGAAAGTAAGACGGGTGAGCCATTGGGGCTCATCAGAATCAGCCAGTTATGGGCCTGGACGATTGAAGACGGCAAGTAACCTACAAGAGATCAACTTTTTATCGCTAGTGCATATAGCTAATAACAGTATAGAATGGTTGATCACATCCGCTTCCTGTGCCGAAATCGACAACGAGAGAACAATTACATTTATCAACTCTATCGTCGATCACCTGCGCACTCAAGTTGAAGATGGTAGTCGTGAACGTGGCCCGAATTCTGCTGCAGAGCTGAGCAAATCCATTGCCGAGTACTGCGTTGGGACTTATGACAGACAACAAGAGGTCCAGAAATCGAAGTCTGACAAGAAGAATGGAAATCAACAAAATCTCGCGATGGATGTCACGAAGGACAACGTGTCTACTGACATAAGCGGATCGACCACGAGGCATGAAGCCGAAACCAGCGAGATGTCGATCCGCCAAACTTTTTCTAATTTTATTAACCGAATTGTTTGTGATGTCTAGCCTAATACACTCGACAAAAAGCAACTCAGCTAATCAAATTTACAGGGAAGACAAGAAGCCGACTTATATGGCCAGTTTTCTGGCTATACAAGGACTTTGAGGCAAGAGGAAGAGACTAGCAGTAGTCACGGCAACCCATTGACAACCGAGGAAGCAGTCAAGAAGGCAGCCCAGCTTTTGTTCGAGATCAAAGATGTCCGTGACGAGTTGAACATACTCAGAACCGTTGCCGAATTTCAACGGAAGGTTCAGTCGCGCATGGATGGCAGAGAGCCTAACGCGATCAGCACTATGTTGGATGCAGACCTAACAGCTGCATATGTCAGAAATGACATTGATGAAATGGACAAGCTTGCTGGGAGGATTAGAGATGCTGTGAGTTCATTATCCAAACACCAATTTAGATGAGCAAAGTACTGATAGTTAATTTAAGTTGCATACCACCATCACACTTCACGAGAGTGAGATTTCTCTAGACCAGGGGAAAAGGGTGATGATGTTTACGGTGATTACTGCTTGGTTTGTAAGTCTTCTCAGTACTCAATCTCTCCCTGTTCAAGGAAATGACTAAGTCATTACAGTTGCCTGCTTCATTTCTCACCTCTTTGTTCGCCCTGGACGTGTCATCTTTTCTTCAAGCACCATTGTGGTCTCTACTCGTTACCCGTATGTGTCTATCATTGCACCTCTCCGCTCGGCATACTAACACCGCCTCCTTAGTGCTTGTGCCTTGTCTCGTCCTCGGGTTGGCGGGAGGCTACATGTATTACGGGCGGCACATCAAAAGTGTCGCGAGCAAACTACCTCACTCCTGGGAAACAACTCCAAAAGACGTCTCTCACAGTCAAAGGAAAGAGACAGGAAACCTCACGGTGGGCAGCGCATCAGCCGCCAATACAAGACGAAACGGGCTTTGGCGATCTTTGCCCGGGGTGAGACATCGAGGAAGCAGAGGCCGTGAGAACGGCGTAGAAGTTCAAGTCTGATACCATTGACTGGGCAGCATTCCTTCGAAATCTCTCCATGGAATGATCATGTGTTTAGACCATGTCAATTAAGCTGGAAAGATCACCGAGGGTAGCCGTGCCGCACATGTTACTCAGGTAGGTAATACCTACTTACAGTAGTATTAATATACTGGAGGGAGAAACCATTGTTCTGGTTGGTGTGATGCGAGTTTGGCATCGATAGATGATTGACTCCAGTGAGTACCTATATTCGAAGTGCTTCCTAGAGAAGAGAAATTGCGGTCATAGTTTATCAAGTTTGGAAAGTCTGTACCAAGTGCTTCTAATGTTCCCTTCGTGGGTATTTGCAAGGAGCCAGGGATCCATCTATATTACGATCGCTCTCTACCACAGACGATGTTAAATGTGTGACAGGTCCAGTAAAGGACATAAGTAGGAAAGATCTAAGAAGCGGAATTCGTCCGAGACACCTGGAATTGACAAATCAAAGCAGGTTCGATAGTCCTATTTACAATCTCTCCCTGGAAACTGCAGTCTCACTACTGGTTTCATTACCCGGATGTCCCTGTGCAAGAAGACCATTCGTTCATTGTACCATGACAAAAAAGCCGAAAGGAGCATTGAATCTACCTTGAGTCATTGGAGAAGCGCATGCCAGGTGTTGGCGATTCTGCTGTAAAGAAACTTAAGCCCGGACCATACCAGGTAGGGTAATTCGTGGGTAATAAGAACTTCTGGCCTTGTATATGTACAGTCAGAGTCAGCCAACCGGATAATGCTTTTCGTCTCGAGCTAAATCCGCTGGGACGTGGAGTGATGCGGACTGAGTCTAACTTCCGCAAGATGATAGGCTGCACAAAATCTTCTCAGTTTCAATATGTTCCAGATGCCAAAAAGACATGACAGAAGAGGAGAATTCCCATCAACAAGTCCAAATGGAATTGGGAGCAGACCGAGCTGAATCGATAGCATCATGTCTACTACGAAGAAGTAGACCGAGGACCCGAACCCGAACCGGTTTTCAGTTTCGTTCGACTCCAAGAACAATCTATAAATGTGTTCCTGTCGATCTTCTGGAAGGAGGTTTGGGTCATTTATAGTTGTATAGAAGTATCATTTAATCTCGTCGAAGTGTGTGACATAGCTGCAAGGTTGTGCAGGTGATGATCTTGATTCGACATCGTCACCGCTCATCTGGCATTGATGATATGATACCTCAATATCAACGGGTACTTCTTCAGCCTGGTTTCCTTTCATTTGAGAACTTTAGTCAGTATACCACCTACAAAAGTACCTTGGTTCCATGATCGCTAGGGACTTACCTGTGCGTACCTTTCCCACTGCCATCAGTGGCTGCACGAGCAGGAGAAGAGCCACGATCTGACCGAATCCCATATCGGTGGACTCCGGGGTTAAGTCTGGAGATCTGGCGAAGCGACGTAGGATGGCCTGGCTCACCGCAAACGAAAAATTGAAAATCAGGCTTGGTTATGTCGAAAGGAGCGATGAGGAATAACGGACCCCTGGAATTGAACATCGCCTGGAAATGTTTGCTATGTCGCAGATGCCAGCCACGCACCTTGTAATTACTCCGTCATCAAAGGTTTTGACCGCAAACTTATAAATGGTCCTGGCCTATGACACTCGAGACGGAGCTTGGCATCAAAGGGAGCATCGCGCTTCTGATGGGCGGCGGTCTTCTCTTGGTCCATGTCCAAAGCCAAAGCCCCCTTATAAAGTAGAGAGGGACGGCCCATGAGGTTGAGCAATGGCGCAACGCCTCGCCCAGTTTGATCCTTCAGGTAGAAGTTTTGCAAGCGGAAAATGTAGCCGCTCCACAAGTACAGAAGAGGGATGAGTGGGTATTGGGCATACCAGACTGAGATCCCGCGGAGATGGGTTTAAACATGCTGCAGATGCAGTACCCCCGCCACCATGGTGCCAGTCCATATCCGAGACCACAGCGGTCGTGTACGTCGAAAGAATGAGCACACACACCATGGTACATACTCGCAAATTAAAGAACCATCGACTTTGGGACTTGTATGTCTGTCTGAGGATGTCGAGGGTAGCCATTATGCGACGTAGAGCAGAGCAAGGCTAGACTTTGCGCCACGGAGAACTCAAATTGGGTCGACCGTTCCGTAGGGCAGACGTATAAACATGGAAAGGCCGTCAGCTTTCCCGTATCTGATGACCAATCTATTTCGGCAGGAAGGGGAGAAGGGAAGTGACAGAAGATCAGAGAGCAACAAGGCCAGTATTTCGCAGTCTGAATGTAGATAGACGAAAAGTTGCAATTCACGTTCATCGCACAAGACCGACAAGACCTTCCGAAAGCGAGATAGAGTGTGATCCGAATGGACTGCGAGACGAGAAGCCGCCGGTTTCAACCCAAAGAACGCCCCCTTGATGGCCATCATTCCCCCTTCGATCCTCCCAAAAAGATGGGATCTTCGGTTCCAAGCGCAAATCTGGGTCATCTCCCGCCCTGCCAACCAAAGTCTGACACCGAGATATCCGAAATTACATAAGATGGCAGCCAGTCTAAAGTTATGCGGCTCCTTGACGAGGTGCCATGATGAAACCGTATTTCTGGCGTACTGGTAGGACTGTAGGGGTAGTTCCCCAGATTCGGCTGGGCGCAACCCTGCAACCGACCGATCTTGAGACGTTTCAGCGAATGGCTGTGGTGGTGGGGTTTTCCTCTTTTTGGTTGTTGGCGACAGCGTCAGAGCACCCCTGCTTAGCCTTTGCTTGAGGGTTCGTGGTTTTGGGAGAGGGGTGCTGGACAAACTCGGCAAAAGCTGACACCAGGTCAAAACTCGTCTCTTCTTCTCCTGGCCCTCCTTGTTTGGGCCGGGGCCGCCTTCACCTCATCTTTTTCGTATGGCTGATCGGTATAGCCCGTTTTAAGGTCGCAGGTGTGAGGGGTGGTTTGAAGGCGGTGCGACGTGTCGCATCAAGCTTAATTTCCCTTGCCAGACTCAGTTTCTCCAGTTTGCAGCCTGGGTGCCGCAGTCTGGCGGTGTTGCTGGCTTTGATTTAAAGACGACTCAATGGCCTCGACTGCTGTGTCTCACTTGTTTTGAGAATCATCCCATTCGCTCACTCGACTTTCCAACTTGCAAACCTTCTCTTCGTTCGGCTGGTCCCTTGTTTCATTTTAACTGTTCATATAACTTAACTTTTCAATTCTTCACCCGACCTTTTCGTCTCCTCAGCAAATATGAAGTTCACCGCGGCTCTTTCCCTGGCCCTTGCCACCTTCGTGGCCGCCATGCCCGCCGAAGATCTGTCTAAGCGCCAGGCCATCAAGAAGGGCGGCAGCACTCTCGTCTTCAAGGAGCAGGGTGGCGTACCCGGAAACGAGTGCCTCACTTTCCGCAACAACGGTATGGCTCTCTGGGATTGAACAATTCCCACGTTATCTGAGGCGACCCCACACTAACACGCATTATCTGCTAGGCGAGATCGTCAACGCTGCCTGTGTCAACACCGCTGCGGACAGACAGATCACCCCCTCGACCCAGGGCGGCAACAACGTTCTTCTCGTCCAGCGTTCTTTCACTGCTGGCTTCAGACCTGACTTGGTGAACAAGCAGGCTTGCGTCGGCTTTAACGGCACCGCTTTTCGGGCCGAGGACTGCGCTTCGAAGAATGTTGAGTTTGTGGCCCAGTCTGGCAACCAGCTTGTTGCCTCTGGCGGCGCCTGCTTGAACGGTCACGATAATAAGGCACAGGTGACTGTGTCTGCACAAGGACAGGGCTGTGCCGAGTTCACCACCACCTCTGTCAAGGCTACTGCCCCGTAAGAGGCGAAGTCTCACAGAGCACTACTCAGGGCAGACAGCTCATGTATACCATGAGTTCACTGTGTGTCTTTCACGGAGTACAGAGGGAGGGGGAGTACTTAAGTAATACTGGGAAAAGATATCAAAATTAATAAACGTCCAGAAATGACATCGAACTTAGAGACCATGTGATTGATCCATGCTGCATTGCCTGAGGGCTACTACCAGGTAGTTGGGTTGCAGATTGCGGAATCAGTTCGCATATCATTCAATGTTGCTATCATGTAGGCAGACTATCAGGCGGAGTTAGACGTAGGATGTAAGCAGGCTCTGCACATATCCACGTCATTGTACATGGTCATCGACCATAGCCTGCTTATTGCATAGAAGCTACCTCCACGTCATAAGTGTCCGCCCGACTTCATCATGGTCCCAGCTCCTTTCGCCAACAACTCTCGCGCAGAATTTCTAGTAGATGTCAGCCGCGGACATGTCGCGCTGGCACGAGACCAATTGCGATCTCCCTCGTGTTGAGGTCGAAGATGGAATCCCCGTCTGTCGGGCGTGTCATCGAACGGCCCAAGCGGTCGAGCCAACAGCAGACGATGTCACGGCCGGTTCAATCCCGGCCATTCCTCCCAATCAGGCAACAGGTATGATGAACCTGTGGTGGCCTCATTCTGTTCCGTATAGGCTTCCGCCAGATGTTGTCAACAGCCACTTCAACAAGTCGGACAAGAGCCAAGAAGGCAGCGAAGTAGCAGAAAGTCTTTGCATTCAAAGGAGACCAACCGGAAAAAATGCCGAAGAAAAACACACTATTCCAGCACTTCATCCATCACCCATCTATCCGAAGACAATCCGATCAGAAGAATTCCGCCTGATCAATTTCCCGGCTGCCGAAACTTGCGATGGTCTTGTACACCTGGACCTTGAAGTTCACGCCTTTGACAATTGCCCCGAATACGAGGCAGTGTCGTATACCTGGGCCGGAGAGGACGATGATGGTGCTTTGAAGCATCCCGTTTACGTCGGTTCCCATTGGGATATCTTATGGCAGACGAAAAATTGCTGGGAGATGCTTCGCTTCGTGCGACCCAAGCGAGGCTTACGAATGCTGTGGGTCGATGCCATTTGCATCAATCAGGCCAATGTCGCCGAGCGTAACGGCCAGGTTGCGAACATGGCGCGAATCTACTCAGAATGCGTTCGTTGTGTCGTGTACCTCGGACCCGATATCGCTATACGCCCTGATGAGGACTACCCTCGACGAAGACGACTCCATGAACTAGAAATGGGCTTAACAGTACCTAAGTTTCCTACACATTCGACAGTGCCCCAGCCTATGTTAAGACTAAAAGCTATACTTGGGCGCAAATACTTCTCTCGCGTCTGGGTAGTACAAGAGCTACTCCTCTCACACAACGTCGTTATTCGCATTGGTGACGTTGACTTTTGGATCGACCCAATTGGTGCGTCTTATTTTTCAATGAAGGCCTCCAGTTGGAAGTGGGAAAAAACATACGCTCCCTGGGCTCAGCATCTGACACAGGGTCAACCTATGTCGAAAGACCTCACTGAGCTCTTATTACTCACTTCAAAGTCACACTCTACTGATCCTCGCGACCGCGTATTTGGTGTATTTGGAATTTTGCCTAAATCTGGGGACCATTCAACTCGGCGTTACGCAGGTACACCGTTGCTGTCGGAGAATGGCCTAAAAGCCGACTACTCGTTATCAGCAAATCAAGTTTTCATCGGCACTTTCGCATACTCCTTGTTGGTCCTCAAGAAACTAGAGGTGTTATACCAGGCCTGTGGGCTCACAGGCCGTGCCCGAGACTATCCCTCCTGGGCCCCAGACTGGAGATGCAAGGACTGGAGTGCTATCTTCAGCCCTCCCAGAACCGTTGGCAGACTGAAGCACATCTGTGAGATAATCTCGAGGGAAAGTCCCACATATCAAGTCAAAAGCACCGCGTTCGAGTCATTGGGCTCTGGAATTGACTGGATTGAGGCAAACAAATCATGGCACCAAGGAGCCTTTGTCAATAGTGCCACGGGAGCCTTGAATGTGAATCTAACGCAATTCTTCACCTTCAAGACTAGACCGATTCGTATTGCCCGAATGCAGGCCTATCACATCTTCGTCATGCAACCTGAAGGCGCCAACGCAGCCTACATCCTATCAGAGTTTCGCCTCGACAAGCTCATGGGTCTCGGAAACGAGAAAATGTTTGTCTTGAATGCGAGCGAGACTGACAAGATTTTCCTCGTCCTACAGCCCATAGGAAATTCAAAGACAGATTTTGCGCTCGTTGCGTCCTGTCCATATGCCTTCATTGGGCAACCTGGCCATCTAGATTCATCTGAAAAAAGACATGGCCCATCCTCCAGTGGCTGGAATCTCCTCAAAGTTCTTCAATCAAGCCTCTTCGACTCTCTCAAGAGACTTCAAGAAATTTGCCTTGAAAATATCGTGGATAGTCACGATCACGGTGGTGAAGTGAGAAGGCGTTTGCTCCCCCATGCACGATTTTACCGTGATCTGGTACCTCTATACCTCAGACTGGTTGCTGATGATCAACCTGGCGTGACTCGGTCTGAAACCACAGCTGAGTTCTACCTTCGGTGGCTGACGGACCGGTATGTGCCCCGGGTGGAGGGAGAATCTGTGATATTCAAGTTCAGCATGCGTGAGTGGATAAGAAGCCACGAGGTGACGGGAAATGCGCCAGATAGTCGGACCCAGCAGGCTGTAGATTGGTACCTCTCTACAGTTCGATTGGAATGGAATGACTCGAAGGTTGTTCCCGAGAACTATCAAAATCCATGGGAATTTCGGGTTGCAGGTCAAGGTTGGAAACCAGCTCTGATGACTCAATGGGACTTGGAGAGACATCATAACCGATACTCGAAATCGTTACTGGCAGAGTGGGTTGAAGTACGATGCCCAATTTCCAACTTTGAAGACTGGATCTCGATAAACAGAAAGTCATCACTGTACCATCTCCTTTCGGCAATCCACAGGGCTTCAAGGGAAACAGGGGAAGGTCTTTCGGATCTTATTTCAAGAAAGCCGAAAGAAAGTGATCGCTATGTGGGTTGTATATCGAGGCCAGAGGACATGGAACTTTGGAATGAGCTAGGAATCTATGGTAGCACGTACATGGTCAGTATCTCGTGATGGAAGTTTTCTCATACAGAGTTGTATTTTTGATCTACATTCAATTTGGAAAGACGTCTCCCACGGTGAGATATCTACCGGTCTAATGGCCTAACGCTGCAAGCCGTGCAATCTCATCAGCTGCAACATCACGTCCTGGGCGACTTATAGTTCTCTGTATCTTCTTTGCGTTTTGGCTCATCGATAAGCTGGCAGAGCCGCCGTCGACCAGTTTCAGAAATGCGCTGCTGAGTTCGCTGAGCGAGAAAGCAGGAGCAGATTTCCTGTTGCCCCAAACTCCAATGTTGATCGCTTCCACACGTGCAGCGTAGTTATAGAGATCTAACCAGGCAGGAAGGATGAGCTGCGGTACTCCGGTACTAAAAGGCCAAGCATCAGTAAGATACATGTTGTAACAGCACATGTGCACGACGCAACTGAGCCGAGACTTACCTAATAGCTTCGTGATAACAGTTCGCACCACCGTGATGGACAGAGGCAACAATGTTCCCCGTCTCCAGCAATGCAGTCGGGTCAACCGTCAACCACTTTGAGACCCTGAGTCGATCGCTTCTAATGAACACATCGACCAGAGGTTTCCAGTCCTCGTCCTTGAGACTGGCGGCTCTATTGAGCTTCCACAGAACCTGAACATTCGTACGCTCCATGACGACCTTCAATGCACCAGCCATATCTTGAGCCCTCCCTATGTCGTATTCGAACAGACTACCTAGATTGACGAGCACGGTCGGTGCCTTAGCCAACCAGGCGGCCAGTTCGGGATCTTGCTCTTCTGCCGAGGTACCCGAGATGACAATGGGTCCTGTAGTAGTGACATTGGCGGGAAGGAAATCGAGAGGAATGGCCGCCGCCGGGGTGTGTTGGGTAATGAATGCGCCTTTTCCAGGCTGATGGATATTAAAGAAGTTGATTGGGTCTTTTAGTCCATGACTGGCAAGAAATTTACGTTTCTCGTTGAGCTCTGCATTAAACATCATTGTCCATGCGAAACTTCCCATCTGGTAAATGTTCGTAGGGATATCTCGCCAAGGAACGGGAAACTCGTGACCGGAGCCAACCCTAGAGAACATGTCAGTCTGCACTGCTGTGCTGTGAGGTCGGAGATAATAGACTGAATGTCGGCTTACGCTGGGAACTTCCAAAATCCCTTCAGCCATGGCTGATCCCCGGCGAAGCAGTCAGCTAGGACGTTCGGTGATAAAATTGCGTGCAGGCGCCCGTCTCCCCGTGTTGCATCCATCCCTGGTCGGTGAAACATGTCAAGTACCACGATCGCAGGATCAATATTTCTGATATGATCCCTTATGCTCTCGTATATCAGGAGATGATCTTCCCCAGACCATGGCGAGATGAATTGCGCCATATCTTCATTCAGACCCGTCAGCCCTGCGACCCCGGGCGGCTGCATCCAGCTTAACGAGGAATTCCGCCCAGACGCCTCCTGGAAGTTCGGGCCCGGTAGGTCATGGAATACAACAGAACGGGCTTGCGGTGTCTTTCTGCGTGCGTAGGTAGTTATTCTGTCGATCTTGGGCTTGATTTTGGACCATGACGCGAAGTGAATAGTGATATCTGGGTGGCGCTCGAGAAGGGAGTAAACAGTTGCGACGTGGACATTCGAAAGACCGTGCTCAATGTTGGTGATGAAGAGAGCGGTATTGTTCTTTCCGATGACGGGAGTGAACTGTTCACTTTGGGCTCCTAGACCACGGCGAAAGGATATAACCGCAGCGATGAGGCCCACGATACATGCGATGAAGGGTTTGGCGCGTTTGAAAGCAGTGGCTGCCATGTTGACACCGTACGAAGGATCTTTCAGAATCAAGTCCAAGGCAAAAGAGCGCGAACAAGGCGAAGGAAACAGGAATCCTGTGCTCTTATGTAGCGGAGCCGAGACTAGTTCAAAACATCGCTCGATCAGGGGTTGAAGCAATGATCAGCCCTCTTTAGCATTGTACATGCTCGTAAATGTTGATAAGACACTACGGCCTCTTGCAGGCGCCGTCAGCTTACATGTAAAGGCCTGAGTGGATAACGCATCCGATTTCGCGCTGTATATGTGTTGTCGGCTTATTGTGGACACTTACCAGGTCACAATCGGTGTGACGAACCGATAACTCGCCTTACGTGAGATGTTACCGTTAGATTTACGGCCCTTACATGATTGCTGCCAAGATATCAGCTCATTCAAAGACAGCAAGTCCCGATTGATAAGATCAGCAGATTATCCACGAAGGAATGCCTACTCGCACCCACCTTCCCAATGTAGATTCTAAGGTCTGACGCAACATGAAGGTAAGATGACATATGCCACGCGTTAGCGACAGAAAGAAAGAACTCACCAATCTTCCGCACAGACTCTGAAACAATTTCTTTTCGGCTGGGATGAGTAGGCTTGAGTACTCGGTGATTTACAGGGAGTTATGGGCAACGCTCCTCATGATATATGCTCTTGACTTAGCGTTCCCTCAGAACATGAAATAAGAAGCTTGAAACAATTGATAGTCACATGCAGACTCGAATACGCATCCTAGGTCGTCTTGTCCTGCCCCGATCAGATGAACAAATTTCGTGCCTATACCATTGTCATAATTCCTGAATAGAACCTTCCGTCGATAATATAGGCGACCTGCACATTCGGAACCACTTAATAATACTACCTGAGGTGACACGCACTTGTCAACCAGCAAGGTATCCTTCCCTGTACAAGAGGTCATTCGCGATTGCACGGCGCCAGAACGACAAGAAACATGCATCGTGAAGAAATTTGTCCAAGCAGATAAGTACATTGTTAAGTGCCTTTTGTGTCGTTGTGATCTTATTGTGATTGGGCTGCTTGATTGGGGCACGGAAACCGCAACTTTCCGATGATCGAGGTTAGCGCCCTCTGCCCTTGCCCGTCAACCCGGCGCGGAACAAACCAACGTTCAACCAACCCAACCAACAAACAACAAGGTCATATCCGGAAACCATTGATCTTTCAGAATATTATTGGCATTTCCGCGAGCCCAATCAGCTCTGCAGTATATAGATCAATGCATCTTCCTAGTGGTACGACAGTCACTGCGGGGCCGCCTACCCAAACAAGCACCCCGCACCTGGCATTGATAACAGCACTCAGTCTTAAGGAGAGAGTCTTTCATTTTTCCTCACATGCAGATATAACCCAAGCTTTTCAAAGTTTTCGGGGCATAGCGCACATATTCTGCCTTCGTTGGGAGCTATCATGGAGGTTCAGTCCGTCCAGGTCTTTCGATTGGACGTCAGGTCGCAATTTGAAGGCTTGAGCAAGTCGCAGCAGAGATATGCCCATCATATGGCACGGTAAGTGATGACATGAAAGAGACACGACTGCTTCGCTGACACTCAAGAAGTGCAGCATGGCACGGGGCGAGAATTGTTCTACGACAAACCTCGCCAGAATCGCTGAAAATATTTGACTTCATCCTCGAGCTTCACGCGGCGTGGAATGGCGGTTGGGATCAACTTGCTGATGAGATTGGAATCGAAGAGATGTACCAATTCCTCACTTACGCGGCAACCTTTTTGTCCAACTTAGGCAACTACTATGTTTGTCGTCGCAAAACTCAGTTGAGTCGATTCCGCTAACTATTTTAGGGATCCGGCGACCAGAAGTTCATCCCAGCCATCCCTAGGGCCGTCTTCGCAAAAATTGCAACCAAGTCTGACAGACTTCAAGCTTTGTATAGCTCGTTTGCTGACGCTGTCTATTCATCACCGCCCTTCAGTCTTGGATACCCGGGGGATACCACTCAAAGCACTTACTACCCGGGAAACCATATCACTAAAGAGGAAATCGCAATGGTCTCTCAAGTCTTGGAACAAAAGTCTATTCTCCCAGAGAACACCAGATTGAGAAAACTAGACGGAGATGCCGGATTTGAATTGCAGATCGCTTCTTCCGATGACGGAAGTCTTGGTGTTTTGCCGTTGTCTGATGGGAGAGGCAGCGTCAAGCTCGTGATGGGAGACCATGCAGCTGAGCTGGAGAAAATGTGCGTCGAGTTAACACATGCGGCGAAATTCGCATCCAACGAGCTCCAGAAAGTTTTCATCAAAGAGTACGTTGAGAGCTTCAGGACCGGAAGTCTCGCCAAGTATCGAGAATCACTGCGAAACTGGGTGAAGGATAAGGCGCCGGAGATCGAAAACATCTTCGGCTTCGTTGAGCCGTACAGAGATCCACATGGAATACGAGCTGAGTTTGAGGGTCTTGTTGCGATCGCAGACGCCGCAGAAACAAGGAAACTGGCAAGACTGGTCGAGAATTCGACACAATTCATTCGGAAGCTACCTTGGGCC